GGGGTTAGTATCTTGCCCAAGGATATTTGGCATGCAGCCAGGAGGCAGCCTGGGATCAAACCACCGACCTTCTGATTAGTGGCTGACCTGCCCTGCCACCTGAGCTACAGCCACCCCAGTGGCAGCATAGTACTTTTTTTCCAATTATTTTTTTAAAAGTCAGGTCAAGGCTCCAAAAGCCCAAAGGCGATATGAGGGTGGCGGCTCACAACAGTTTTTGTTTGCTACATGGATCATTTTAGTTCAGCATCTTTCCTTTTGTTAGATTTCTTTAAGAGTTCAAAATGTGTTAATTACATAAATAAAATGTAATTTTCTCTGTAGCACTTCATGGATTTCATAAGCAACACACCTTAGTTGCTCTGTGGATTCTTTTAAAAAGCAGTTAAAAACTTTTCTGCTCAAACAAGCCTTTTGTTGATCTACATATTTTATATTCTTTACATTATTTACATTTGATCTTTTACATTGTGTATAATGTCTATTGATTGTATTGTTTATTTTAATCTTTCTCAACTCTCCTGGAACGCACGCTAATTCTTCTTAAATGGAAGGATTCAGGTCCACCAGTGTTTGTTCATTGTGTGAGAGAAGTAATGAAGTGCTTGCAGATAAAGCATTTGAGATACAGTTTGAGAGGGTCTCAAAGTAAATACTACAAATCCTGGTCATCCTTTATTGAATATGTGGAGAAGTTGTCATTTACTGAAGTATGATGTAATACTGCTTTTTATCTGTGGGTTTTTTTTCTTCTTCTTTAAAGCCACCTACTCTCTGTAACAAGCCAACAAGAACTGCACACAATGCAGCCCCCCCCCCCTTTTATTTATTTATTTATTTTATTTTATTTTTGTTTTCTACCCTGTTCACATGGTAGTATTTCTTGTTTGTGTGCATAGATTATACATTTTCCTGCATCCAACTGGTTTGCCACTGTGCGCAAAACTGTGGTTTGCGCAACCTGTTTCACAATGGCAATGTTTGTAATCGCAACTCCAGTTATATTTTTCTGTATTTTTGTTAAACTGGAAAATTATAAATAAAGTTGTCAAAAAAAAGAAAGACTTGGAATCAGCAGGCACAATTGTTTCAAAGAAAACAATAAGTCCACTACCATGACCTGTATGCGTGCTCACAACACAAGACTCCATTGCTGACAAAAGCATGTTGGAGTGTGTTTAAAGGTTGCTGAACAACAGCAGAATATAGTCTGGTCAGATGAGACCAAACCGAACTCTTTGAATGCCATAACACACATTATGTTTAGTGGTCAAATGTCACCCTAAAAATACCATGCCAACAGTGAAGTCTGGAGGTGGGAATATCATGGTGTGGAGCTGTTTTTCAGACCTGAGCAATGCATGCAACTCACTTTTTTCTACTCAGGAGGCATTTTGAAGCTGTCATTGCTAACAAAGGCTTTATATGGAGTATTAAATATTAAAGTAAAAGCAAGTAAGTAAAATTGTATTTGTATAGCACCTTTCAAGACAAAAATCACAAAGTGCTTCACAGAAAAACTAAAACATAAAAACAGAAATCAACCAAAAGCAAGTTAAACTGATAGTTCTGTCCTTGGACTGTCCTCTGCGCATAAAACCTTCATCCTTTACTGTTATAAGTAGTTATTTAGCACTCTATATTTGTGCTAAATAACTAGAGTCTGTTGTCTCTTTTTTTCTTTTCTGTTTCTTAGTATAATAATAAGGTGATGGGGTATGGAGAGGAAACCATAGCTTGCTCTTAATATATGTATTAATATAGATATACTTGATCTACTGGTGTCTGTTGTAAGCTTAAGATCAGATGTCTTTCCTTTCTTGCACACATTCACATTTACACAAACATCCTGAAAACCAATAAGCTCTCCTTGCCATTCTTCCATCCACTCTGTTCAGCGCTTCACAACACAACACCCTGAACCTGTTGAACCCCAGTGCCCCCCATCTGGTTTCACAGGCTGCACCTCTAGGTCTGTTATTTAAATATAGACATATGGTTTGGTAAGTGCAGACTTCCCCATTCACCTGACGGCATGTACACGGAAAACAATGCCTCTGCTGAAAGCACAGATCTCACAGATTTTAAACCTGCTAGTTTCATCACGCTCCAACTAAAATTGCTGAACCAACAGCAAAAGAAGACCTAAATTATGCTTCACTTTTGAAAAACATTATCATGAATTCTGTCTTACCTTTGCTGCTTTGCTTCCAAAAAAAAAGAAATTGCGATAAAACTGCATTTCCAAGTCTGTTTCAAGAGCAGTTTTCCATTATAAATCACTAGTTTCTGCCTTATTATATTGTTTTTCTCACAGATGCAATATGCGTCAATCTCCTGTTGTGGACAGTGCAGCCGTCCGCTTTTAAAAAAATCTTTTTTGTTTTGGAAAAATTACCTCTGACAAGAAAGCCTAATTTGCTCTTTTTTCTTTGTTTTCTCTTCTGTTTCTTTTCTTTCTCAGCTGCGTTTTCTTGACCTGCCGGAGCTTGTTTTCCAGCTTCCTCCATTTGCGAACCATCGATTCGTTAATCTTAAATTCTCTCGCCGCTGCTCGATTTCCATGTTCCTCCGCGTAGCTGATGGCCTTCAGTTTAAACTGTGCTTCGTAAGCGTGTCTCTTTGCCATTTTCAGGGTTAAAACAACGATGTCCTGCATAATGCACATACCTGTTCTTTTATACAGGTATGTGCGATTGTCCCGGTATATACGATCAACGCCCACACTTCACCCTTTAACGTTCTCATGGTGTTCTCTACTACGTCCTCCTTACAACACATAGGGCGCGCCGCACTTTTTGAAGAAAATCTAAGACTTTTAAGTGCGCCTTATGGTTGTGAAAATACGGTATGTTGTTGGAGAGAGAAATAACATCGTGGAAGAGACATAAAGTGAGTAAAAAACGTCCTAAATGCATTTAGAGTTTATTTAGAACTACAAATTAAATTTATTTTAGCAATTTTTTTTTTTTTAATGTCACAATTCCAACCCTGCTCCTTTACCCGGGCTTGGACCGG